CAGCGGCTCATGACCACTGTGATCTCACACATTCAAACTTTTGCCACACTGTAGTTGGCTCACCCACCTGGAGTCCCTCCCCCTCCAAGGCTTAGTCCTAGGGCTCTCACCTCCTTCCTTGGGATTTGGAGCCGAGCCAGGCGCCGTTCTCTGATTGTCTGTGCTCTCCGCCATTCGTTGGCAGGACCATAGAAGGAAGTTCAAGTGGTCCGTAAACCGGGTGAGGGCAGTCACTTGACATGCGTGAAAAGCTGGAATGTTCGAGTTCACACTAGTTCGCCGAGAAACTGCATCATGATGCCCCCCCCCCCTAACTGGAATAGACCCCCAAAAGTCTATTCCAGTGAGATGAGTGCAGAAAAGTTTTAATTGGTAGTTCCCCTACCTCCCCCTCGCAACAACGAATTGAACTTGAAGCCTGGAAGTTGAGATCTCTTATGGCCTATAAGAGGTTCTGCGATATTTGAGATTTGCGTTCATTTATGCAGTTCATTTTCAGGGCGCAGTTTTGGCTCTGAACGAAAGCAAAGGTGCTAGCAAGCCGGCAATTTTGAAGTATTTGGCACAACACTATCAGCTAGGCGAGAATCTTCCCAAGGTGAGCTATACGAATGCGTTTTTCCGCACAACGCTCTTAGTGCTATGTTTCAGATAAATTCTCATCTGTGCATGGCACTCAGAAAGGCCCTTAAGGAAGGCAATATCGAGCAGGTGGTGTCATTTGTGAGACTTTCTTACTTTCGAGACTTGCAAACGGAAAAATCGCACTTGAACATGAAATGAACTTTTCTCAAAGCGGGCCAAAAGCAATGAACACTATGGCTGAAAAGCGAAGCGGTCTTGATGAAGTCATTGCGCGTCATAGTTGAACCAGACTCCTTAGAGCGTTGGAGGGTCTGGCTGGGATACCTAACGTCTTCCCACCAATCACGCTTAACGACGTCACCAAATCGCTCCGCCCTCAGTTGTGTTCACTGTCTCAAGACAGGGGTGTCCCCCAAGAGGCCCATCGCGCGGCGAAGGAAGAGACGCAGATGCGGCAAAGGACGAGTCGCAGCGCGTGCTGTGCGATATGAGACGTAGTATGGTACACTCTATTTAACCTGACGCCTAACCGCTACAGTATGCGCTGCGACTCGTCCTTTGCCGCGCGACGGGCCTTTTGGGGGACATTCTCATGATCAGAGGTGTGATGTGAAACGTGCGACCTATCGTACGTGGTTGGCTCATCAAAAGAAAAACATACATAGACGGCTTGGCCATAGTGGGCGGGGGCTTTATTAATTCGGCAAAGAAGCAATGAAATTTTACTCGAGAACGGGAATGAGTTCGACTATAGTGTTCTGCTAAATCCATTGATGGGCTTCTCGTGTTGGCTCTTGAAGACACCCAGCGCAGCAAGCAAACGGGAGCGCCCGGCTGGAACTGGCCGTTGCCAAAACAGATCCGACCCCAGGCGCCTGACTTCGTTTGTTCGAGTGTGACTGAAGCTTTAATTCTCACACAGTAACCAGGCAGTCAGCGCTTTGACTTTCATCGTACTGCCTTCTTACTTTTGTTGGGAACGGGGACCTATGTCAAATTCTCCGGATGAAATGGTGGAAAAAATGAACCCATCAATAAGTAAACAACAAAAAAAGCAAGCACCAGCATCCTGCGCGGCTTAGCCCATTGCGTGATTAGGTAGAGCTGTGGATTTGAAGTAGCTAGACAACTTGGTGTTATGAAGAGTCGTTGAAAAAGTAGGACACACCTTTATATGTATTTATTATTGTACACGAAACTATTTTGGCGTTTCTTGGGGCTCTCTGATGAGAGCTACAAAACAGCCCTAGGATATAGCTTCAGTGAAAGGGTATAGCTTTAGCCAAGTTTAAGGCAGCGCTCTAATAGGACGCCCAGGACTCAGGCTAAACACGGGTTCGAGTCGTATTACTGACAACCAATGCCCTTCATCAGATCTTCCACAGTTCATAGTATATGGGAGCTCTCAGCACGTCGAATCCTTTTTTCGGGCCTGCAGGGGGAATTCTCTGCTGTTTACTGGGTTTTCGGTTTCGAGCAGATATAACTCACTGAGCTGGGTATTTCATGCTTCCTCCATATCAGGTTCTTATTGCTGTGCTTTTCGCAGACGCCTAGCCGTTAGAACCGATCTGTTCAAGAAGATCTGTTATTTTTTCTATGAACCTTGTTCAGACAAAAGGACATGGTGCATCGGGCAGCTTCAAAATGAGCGCCCCGGCAGCGAAGAAAGCCGGTCCATCCATGGCAAAGAAATCTTCGGTTGCGAAGCCTTCATCGTCTAAAGCAAAAGCGATAATAAAGAAGAAAGCTGCGCCCGCAAAGGTTATGAAACCGAAAGTGGCAAGAAAAGTTGTGAAGAAGCCGAAGGTACCGAAGGTAGGAGTTTTCTCTGCGCGAGATTTCTGAGGTGAAAAAAGCGTTTTTCAGGGTCAAGAAAACGATTAAGAAGAAGGCCGCCAAGAAAGTCGCTCCGTGTCGGTAAGCTACGTGTGCAGAAGAAACGCGTCGCTGCGAAGACTAAAGCTCCTCGAGCAAAGAAAGTTTAGATGGTCCTTTTGTTATTGTTCCTGTAAATAACCCATAACCCATGTTCATATGTCCAACATCGCTACTCGAAGAGTCCGTGTAAAGGTTTTCTCATTTATCTCTTGTTTGCCGCAAATCGTCTATCGCTTCGTCTACCAACAGGAAATCTAATCAATGAATGCTATGAATATTCGCGTAGACGATAGCTGGAAAATTCGGGGGTCCACGAAGCAACCCCATTTGTCAGTCATGATTCCTGGCTTAACTACAAATCCAACAACTTTGTGCAGCAAGCCTTCCAAAATCTCTGATCAAATAAAAGGGCGGAGTCCAGCGACATGAGACGCGCGCGGTCGCGTTGCGTTTCTTGGACAACTTGTCGCACACCAGGTGTACAACAGCTATTCGAGTATTCTGCAAATTTATCGATTTCCTTTCTCATGATTGTTTTATTCCAAATGATTGTCATGAACGCATTGAACGGTTTTGGGATAGGGTCACCATATGAGATCAACGATGACACGAAGGGTGGGGCAGGTATATCGGGGCGAGCACCTGATATATCTGAAAACTGTTCGATGCGTCGAGCAGCGTTTATGCGTGTAGCCCGTTGAAGAACCGGAACGGTGCCTACTCAGCGCTCAAAAATCTCCCAATTTTGAAAAAAAAAACAGCGGAAAGCGATTGCTTCCCTCGCGAGTTCGATTCCCGCGTGGCTCACATTCCATCCCATTTCCCGGGGAGCAACTACTCATCGGGGCGGAGCTGTCGCTTTCGACTACTTTTGCATTACTCTCCACATAGAAGTCACGAGCGGAAAGGTCCCCGCGTACGGTACCTGAACGGGCTTTACAAAATCGATTTTGTTTCCGTTTTTTTTTGTCGCTCGTTTTCTGTTTATCTCTTGAAGCGCAATATATTGAAAACCGTATCATCAGGTTACAGTTTGTGAAAGCGGTGTATTCAGGTCGATTCTCGTCCAAAGTCATTGTATTTTCTACTGATCCCTACTGGGTGGATGTTGATTTTGATGCCAAGCATTAAAAATCCAAAAAAATACGAGCTATCTCACGATTGTTCCCCTATACTAGGTTTGGCCTCAGGATCAACCTCGCACTTCCATCTATTCGAGTCGGTTTTATCAAACGGGCAACTCAGCCCCATTTATCTCCCGTGTGACAATTTTTCTTGTATACGCAATCGTTTTCTTGTCCTATTACATACAAATGTGGAAATATTGCTTTTTTTCTGTGCATTTTCTCTCTTTTTATTGTTGATATGTACAATATTTGCATTGTTGACAGTCCCAAGAGTGCCCATTTGTGCAGGTGGCGCCACGTCGCGGTCAGAGACGCAGAACAATGCGCCAGACGGCTAGAGGGGATGAGCGACGCATTTCTGCAGAATGTGCACGATTGGGTGTCCATGTGTGTACCAACACGTCGCTAGAGATTGTCTAGAATTTGGCTGACCTCAAGTTGGGTTGGATATTTTTGGGATTCGAAGAATCGCTTCGACGGTGAGATCAGCTTGTGTGTTCCATCAATGAGCAGTTTTCCTCTTTGTTTTGTTTCCTTGTTTCTGCACTATTGAAGCGGTTTGTAGAAATTCTCGAAATTTGTTCACCCAACTCTTGCCATCTACCTGTTCCCGGTGTTCATTTTGGGATCCCTTATTTGGCCTTTTTTTTACTTCTTTTTTTCCCGTGAATAAACGAGATCTCGCTTTGAGTCGAATCGATTTATTAGCATTATTACGGTGAGATCAGACTATAAAGGTACGAGATCACAGATGAGTATAACACAGAGTGGGACGCCAGAAGACGACGTGGGACGAGGGCGGATGACGGTCAGAACACGTCCACGACGCCGGATTCCCGCAGTTCTCGGAGAATCTCCTTGGCAACCACTCGATGTCCAGCTTCGTTAGGATGGAACGCGCCCATGGCATTGCCCTGCAGCGCGATCGACTCCTGCCTCGATCTGAAATAGAGGATTTTTAATGTTTTTAGGATGTGTTCAGTGCCAGGCGCGCTAAGGCGAATGGGCGATCAAGCGAAAGAAAGGGATAGGTATCGACTGGGCGAGTAGGCGACCGCCACTAGTATATCTAATTGATTCCTTTTCGCCGATTCTCCCATTTTGCGAATCTCCCATTCGACTGCTCGCCTGGTCGGCATAAATCTTTTTCTTTTAATCGCCTATTCTCGAAGCTGTGCACAACGCCACAACGGTCCAAACATGTGCAATAGGTACGATTTTTTAGATAATCGAGTTTGATAGAAAAATTACTTTAGAGGGCGGCAGCGGTGTAGTGGCAAGTGGCACGCTTACCACGCGCGGCGGTCCGGGATCGAATCCTGGGTCGTGTGTTCGCCCGGCAAACCAAGCCTTCCATCCCTCCGGGGTCGGTCAATTGGTGCCAGACTTGTCTGCGGGAGGATAAAAACACTGACGGATGGCCCCCCAGTCATTTTATATTTATAGGCCATCCATTTCGACGCCACTAATTTAAGCAAATGTGAAGTAGAATGCGTGCCGCATCCCAAAAAAGGGGCGATTTACGGCAAGCTTTGGCCTTTTATTTACTGGAAAACTCACTCAGTTGGAATCGTGAGCAAACTATGGCAACAATCCTTGCTAAGCGGCTCATCCTATATTATCATCCTAAGCTTTCAGTGGGACCAAGGAGACCTAATGCCTACTAGGACCTAATATAAGAACTGGGGCCAAATGTAGTGCGGTCGAGAGCGGAGTATGGACTTCTTCGTGACAAGGAATGTCCTCTGCCCCTACACCACTTACTGTGCTGTGAGAATTTTGGACCCCGGCTGTCTCGGGTGATCACGGAGACAGACGTTGAATTACTCAAAGCTTCGTCCCGCTCAAGGAACTTCTGTGGCTTTGCTCCGGTTGGATTGCAGCTGCTCTATGTGAGCCAGTAAATCTCCCTCAAAGACAACAACTTCAGATGGCAGTAGAGGGAGCAGGGGAAAGGTGTAAAGGCACCTATCGGCTTGGTTAAGAGTAGCCCAACCAGCATCACAGATATGCCGTTGTAGCAACTCGAAAGGGCGCGACAATGGCACTAGGGCCTTGAGTACTGATCTTGTGGCGGTTAACGTGAAGTTACGGACAGGCATGCTTCGAGTTAACCGAACGAAATCTATGGGGTGGGTTAGTGGAGGGCCATCGAGCATCGCAAGTTTTAGACAGCTCGTCCGGCCCCACCTCTTCCTTATTCAAGGAGCAATAGAGGGAATACTTGCTAATGGTTCTATTGGCAGTTTGCTATAGTTCTTTTTTCGTTCTCACACCACACTTATGCCTCACCGTCGACTGTTCTTGATCTCACACTTGATATGGGGTTTGTTGTGTTAAACATTCCGCACATTACCGATGGAAGGTTCATATAAACCGGCTACGGGTGATGTAGATGGGGAGTGACATGGTCTGAGTGAGTAAAACTTACTGCACCCGGCAATTGCTAACAACGTCTTTTCTATGAACCCGTCTGCTGTATCACGAAATCACAAAAGTTAGGCGGTAGCCTTCAAAATACGGCTAGAAAACCCACCGCTCGTAATGGTAGCCTTTCAACCTTCCTAGGAGTTGATCTTGTATCGCTTCTGGATTGTCCCGGCTAATCGAGTTGATTGTACTCCTTTCAGCTACCAGATAAATATTCGCTTTAAAATCTAAACACTTTTGGGTCTGGATCGTTAATAAATTGAAAAAAAAACCCTGAGAATACCAACCTGATGAAACTCTGCGATGAACATATTCCTTTATGGGCGAACAGTGCGGGTATAGCAGTAGCAACGTGCCAACCATATTGAGCACCCTTCTTCAGAAGCAACGTGTTCAATCGACGCAGAATTCGTCGCTCGGCGAACGTCATGCTTGAGGTCGACATCGAAAATGGCAAACAATTAGTGGAGAGGGGGTGAATCACGCGAATTTCCATTCTTATGTTCCTCAAGACAGGCATCATCTTATGGTGGTATTAGCAAATGTGGTAAGGTTAATTACGGTTAGAAGGAAATTGCATCCATCTCAGTTCGAGAGGTCCTTCAGACCAGATCACGGTTACCCTCCAGCAGGTCCGTCCCACGGCGAGAGGGCAGAGACGCAGAGTCGGCGGACGAGTTGCAGCGCGTACTGTAGCGATTTGGCGTTCGCGCGGGTTGGTCAGAGTGCGGGGCAGGCAAGTTCCTACAAAACATCTTGGCTCCGCGCCTTCAATTATAAGGGGAATCCTTGTTTAGGGCTTTACCGACAGATTTCTTTGCTTGGTTTTTCTCATTTTTAATCAACATCAGCAACTTCATTATCCACCGCTGTTACCCCACAAATTCGACTGGGGGTGTAGCTTTGAATAGAATGTGCCTTAGTACGACCCACATCGCTCAACATGCGCTGCAACTCGTCCACCGACCCGCCTCCCTCACTGCCATTTCACCGCGCGATAGATGTGAAGAAAATTGTATTATGAACTCGGGGAAGGATGGATTCAACGTCTTGCTTCAGCTAATATGTATTACAAATTTAGGCTACAGAATGCGATCATCGAAATGCATGGGGTACAGTTCGGGAGGTGCCCTAATTTTTGAAATTGCGCTGAAGAGCTATCATGGACTTCACCGTCAGAGTTGGGATCTCACGATAATAGCACAATACGGCTTCGCACGCGTCTTCAACCTTCCCTGGACGAATTTTTGAAATCGGGCAAATCTTCCTGGCGGAACTTCCCCACCTTACAACCTCCACCTACCCCTACTACCTTAACTATTTACAGTTTTTCGTTCTTACGGGCAAGAATCGCATCACGCTCAGGGAATGCGAATGGATTCCGTTGTCCTTCTTCCGAGCACTCTCTCGCGGGCCCTGTACCAACATTACTTGGTCGAGGTAACTTGCCAAAACTACTTTGTTTCTGCTGCTAGTGGCGCGGTCCTCATGGTCAAAAAATGGGGTGCGTCCAGAGATGCAGGGTTTCGAGAACCCATCCTAAGTCGGCTACGCTGCACACGGCAACAGATAACGAACCCCAATTTTATCATTGAATTTTCCCAAACCTACGGGTGTATGTCTAAAGAATCGTCCGGATCCTGCGCTACTGGTCGGGCCGCGACGTCGAACTGCAGTTGGGAAGTGTTTCGAGGTCATTTTGAAATTTGAATTTACAAAGACGCTGAGCGGGCCCGTCCCTTTAATAAACAACTTCAATCATCTGCTTAAACCATCAAATTCAAAAAAAGCACTCCTTGGAAACTGCGCGTCGGCGACACAGCGTCTGGACGATTCCTGGCTGATCCCCCCGCCCACAAACCTACCTGGACAGCACTTTTAGATCCGGATCATCAACAAAACTTCGAAATGTGAACGCAGGTCGAGTAACGCTTTCCGGCAAAGGCAGGGCTACATATATAGGCACTGAAACGGCAAACTCTACATATTTCAGTATTTGTTGTGGACAAACTTCAGAAAACTCCTCCCTCTTAAAATCAAAGAAACAGTCGCTTCTCCTACGACAACACCGCTTCCCCTTCAGTGCCAACACCATCCCCTGGGTCTCAACTACGAACCCCATCAACGGACCTCAAAAACCGACTGTTCGGGTTTGCCCTACTACGGTAATGGTCCATGAGATGGGCACAATTGAAGTTGTTGCTAAAGTTGTGCACTAGCTCACCTCGCCTGATGCAATACAGCTCGCGTCCACTTCTCGCATACTGATTTTTTGTGAAAATCGAAATATTGCGGAACAAATACGCTGCCTGTTCCAATGGCTGCCAGACGTTCAGCGACCAAGTCCAGCTGATGAGAAACGAAGAAAAATCTGTAAAAAAAGAAGAGTGAAAGTCCTATGCACGAACCGGATTTTCAAGTCAACGCACATGAGAAATACCAATTTTCTTTTTTTTTGTCAAAATCCAGGATTCTTTCTCCATTCAAAAATGAACTTAGTTTTCTAAGGTATTTCCAAGTCTTGGATCTTGGACGAATACGAATTTAAAGGCACAAGTCAGAGGTCCCTAAAGGACAATCAGAAATGTGGCGTTCCCGTGCACGGAAACCAACCGACAAGAGCGCTTGGGCCCTTGCAAAGTAAGCTGCTGCAAGCTGCAGATTTTTTCTCTTATCAGGCTGTTGTCTGGCGCTCTCTCATCTGTAGCGCTCTCTCGCCCCATACTCTTCCTCTCGCGCTTAGTCAGGATGGTACAAGCGCAGGCACGACGGGAGATCCTTAGGCTCTCATTGTTTAGCACAGCGCAACTGCGGAGGCTGGTCCTTATCCAGAGCTTTTTCGACGCTTTTTCCTTTTTTTTTTCTTTTCTGCCCGCCTATTTCGCACCTAATACACTCATATCCTTGCGCAAGAACCACGCCACTTTGGTCTTGGTCTGCATTGCCTTGAATCGAGTAAGCTCGCTGGTGACAAAACAAGGTAATCAGGGTAAAAACGAGCGTTGCGCAGACCCTGGGTGGCGTTTGGGCTGTGTTTGGGGAGGGGATCGTTTTAGGGGAAAGGCTGGTGGTGGTGGTGGGGTTCGTATCGAGACTCCCCAAAGGGGGGGGGCGTAAATGCTTGAAGTCCTGCGCACTGGGCGTTGACCACTGGACCCTAAATCACTGTACCCATTCTGAAGTTCACGTTGATACCAATGTCTGATCAGAACAAGATGACGCCAACCCACTAGTAACTAATGACTAGTTGATCTGCATGATCGGTGTGGGTGGTTAATCCCTTCCAGTCACACCTATCGTCAGAGCGTGTAAACATAAGTTCAGCAACGATGTAGGAGCGCACGTTTTTTAGGTACGAATGAGCTGAAAGCAATGGAGGACAGCGACCTCACAGGAAGTCTTCCTCTATTTTCCGATTGCCGCCAGTTTTTCGTCAAGTCTGGATACGTCACAAAACTTGCTCGTCGAGGAAGTTGTCTCTGGCAAATACTCGCTCTGCTGCACCAAGTCAATGGGGAGCCAGCTGAATAGGATTCCCAGCATGCCGCAGGATCATTGACCCGTAGTCGCTACTCTGGACGCAAGAGCTGGAACTGGATCATTGAGAATGGAGGATTAGCAAACACGTCAGAGCTTAATTTTTGGCTTGACGTAGGCGTTGCAGTAAGAATGGTGCAAGGCAGCACGGGCCTGGAGGTAAAGTCGCGTATCGGACTTTCTGAGGCCCTGATCAAATCCAGAGGCAGGTGAAAAAAGCGCGAACGATTCCCTGCAGGGTCTCGTTTGCTCAAGTGGAGTTAGGGGGAGGATTGTAAAGGTATTCTGGGAATCATAGATGTGGAATGATGAGAGTGAGGGATAAGTTGGCAGATTCAATAGCAGCGTAAAATTCGGCTTCGAACATGCATATATCACCGCTTAACGCCCAGACTTAACCAGAAGGTCTTTCAGGGCGTGACGAGCTTTTTGAAAACGGTCTTTTGCATGATATAGGGGCAGATGCGGGGACCACAGAACCATGTTTAATTTTTCCTGAACGGCCCTCTGAATACCAGAAAAGGAGGTCCCTAGTTCGATTCCTCGTGGTGAACAAATTTTTGCATTTCGAGTTGACGTGCCAAAATTCGCGCAAAATGGAGTTAGAACCAACCAGAACAATCAGAACTCCATTTTGCGCGAATTTTGGAACGTCAACTCGAAATGCAAAATTTGTCACCAAGAGGAATCGAACTAGGGACCCCCTTTTCTGGTATTCAGAGGGCCGTTCAGGAAAAATTAAACATGGTTCTGTGGTCCCCGCATCTGCCCCTATATCATGCAAAAGACCGTTTTCAAAAAGCTCGTCACGCCCTGAAAGACCTTCCTGGTTAGTAAACTTGGTCGGGTTGGGAGGGAGGTCAGGTAGGGCTGTTTTCGACACTTTTGGGACCGGAGGGATGGAAGGCTTTTGGCTGGCCAGGACGAGGATTAAGGTGAAATTCAATTCGGGGAGGGGCCACGCCACTGCGTTCTCCAGAATTCAAGATCAAAAGATGAGAGCGCTCTGATAAGTAATCCACTCAAGAACATCCAGCGATCCTTATCAAACGCGCTTTTCAAATGAGTCGTTCACATTCTATCTTGTCCTTAGTGTTAAGGAGCCCAAAGGAGTGCAGTCTAATAAGACTAAAGATAAGATAGCAAAGAATGCTCTCGCCCTCGCCCCCACCCTCGTCCTCCCCCAAAACTATTTTCGCGGACCGCATATATCCAGGCTTTGATCCCGGGCCGCGCACGTAGTAAGTAGACGCTTGCCACTACACTTTTGTCCATACGATTTTTACTACCGGAATTAATACTTTCTAAGGATTCTCATATGTCGCAAAATATAGAAAGCTTCCACACTCACCTCATGTCCATCAGACTGACGTCGAATCTGGCGCTTTCATGAACGAGAGCGTTGATAATGTCTGAGAAGCCGATATCGTTACCTCCTGTGGATAAAATCACTACGTCGGGACCACGACCCCTACAAAACAGCGTTGTTTTTGTTTACCGAAACGTTTCTGTTAACATAAACACATTGTCTCTAAAGCAAGGTATTACACTGATGTCAAAGTGAAAGAGAACTTGAAACTTCAAAGAAAACAGCGGCGATGAAAAAGGGAAGAACCGCAGGAAATGCTAAACCCAGTAGGTGGCCTAATAAATGGTTGAAAAATGCGGATCATTGCAAAGTTTGTGGCTCAATTAATGCCCAATGAGTCATTGATTGCATCTTTTATAGCCTTTCTTCTAGCTTTCGCCTGTTTATCTGCCTTTTCTTTGTCTTCTGTGTACACCTTTCCATAATACATGTTTGATCAATTGCCCATCTATCTTTTGATCTGTCGTTTTGCCTATTTTTCCCTGCTCTTCTTCCTGTTTACGGGTGTGCATGGCCTGTTTTCTACCCTTCCATCTGTTCATTGGCACATCATTGAAAGCACATCCCCAAATGAACTCAGAACTCGGAATCAACCCCGTCGATCGGACGTTATATCAACTCAAATCCACCTTCCCTTAGCGCTGTATGAAATTCGATAGAAGTTCGAAATTCAAACTTTTATGTTTAAAAGCATTTTAGGCGCCATCGCAAGTTACGGGGTTACCCTCTACGACTAACCCTAGGAGGGGCAGGGAACCGGGGGAAATGAAAATCGCTCACGCACCCAGGATTCTCCTGCCCTGCCTAACACTTAGTCCGTTTGTAATATAAAAGTAGATCTTCCAAAAGTAGACGCTTTTAACGCTACTGTGATGCCCCCGTATCTTGCGATAGCGCCAAAACTTCTGTCGCGAGCTATTTTTCATATGCTCGCCATAAAGATCTGTAGAATTGATGAACGGCCTCACCTCAAAGTGGCTATCCTTTCCAATGTGGCCAGTTGGCTGGCTGATCCACTTTCCGCTTTCAGAATCCCGTTTTCTACGGTGGCACCAGCGCAAGCCAAAAACGTGAGGTACGTCTGAGGCCGTACAGCTGCGATCTGTTGGAACACCTGCGCAGCGAACGATTTTGAGGACCGATGGCATCGCTCTGAAATCAAAAGGGATCTTTTAGGGAAATCCGTCCGTGTTTGTGAAAGCTGTGCCACGATATCTTTTAGCAATTCGATTTCACTAGCACTTAAATGTGCCCTGAGGAGACGGCGAGCGGCAAGATGAAAGGAAACCCTAATTGCCATAACTGCGTCAGATCAAAGGAGCCGCCAGGTGGCGAAAGGATTACGGTAGACGAGTGACGAGACTTCATGCCGGACAAGTTTGATTGATCATTGCTTTGTGGACATGAATGGTGATAGAAAAACGTGCGCCAGGAATGCTCTTCAGCCGGTCGCTGGTCCCGATCGGAAAATAACACCGACAGAAGAAAAACAGGCGTTGAAGAACGGATAAGTGGTCACATTCATGAACGCGTTTTGATGGAATTCAGTTGGGAAATATGCGAAGTGAAGTGGAATGCCCTTTTACCGTAGCAAATCGACATTCCTTCGTCTCTACGCTTTTTCTTCATAAAGTCTAAAATACGGTACGTTTTGGAATTCCACCGAAACCTAGCAATCATAAATATTATCATACAAAGCCCTCTTCAGGCTTGTTGTGCCCCCACCAATTCCCTCGGACCCCGGGTAGGTGCACCCCCACATCGAATGGAAAGCAAAGGTGGCACTTTTTCGGACTGAGAAGTTAAGAAATGAGGGACC